CTATCTGCTCTGATAATTTGAGAAAAATCTGTGACAGTGCATTGAGCACGCTATGCTGGAAAAGTGCGTTTCTATCGTGCACTGCCTCCTAAGTAGAACATCGCGTCACATGCACGGATTGAAGAACTGTTCTTGGAAAAATGACTCAGTAAGAAGTTTTCCTCTAGGAAACGACTCGAATTGATTCAAGATGACTCGAGTCAATATTTGATGCGACTAGGACTCGGATCTCGACTTGAAGGCTACTGACTCAAAAAAGTGGTGACTCTTCCATCTTTGCGCAGCGTAGTTCTGTAGATCACCTCGAACACAATTCATAAAAAAGATTACTAAACAAAAAGAAAAAATCCCTGCAGAAACTTATAATATCTGTAACATACTTCTTTTTAATAAAAGTCATATTAAGCAGATATGTAAGTTTAGTTGAGTTTACCTATATATTCTCCTTGACTTAATTTAAATATGTTTTTACACCGATCAATAACACGAAGACTACCATTTGGTCTCCATTCTCCAATATCACCTGTATGACACCACCCATCTTCATCAATTGTTTCTCGTGTTTTTTTTTCATCGCCAAAATAACCTAGAAAAAGTTGAACAAAATAAGATACTACCTTATTTTTGGTAATAATTAACCAATCTAAGATTGTTTTGTTCTTTTAACTAATATATTCTTATCTCACCTTTGAACACACATGGCCCTCGAATACATATTTCACCTTGATTATTCTCCTTATAATAATTTGTTCCTGAAACATCAATTAATTTTATTTCTACCGTACATCCCGGTGAACCAACGGTTCCTGGTGATTGATCAATTATGTGTGTAGTTGTTCCAGCTGCGGATGTTTCTGTTTGACCATACCCTTCTGCAACGGGAATATTTAATGCAATACGAAAAAAGTGTAATACGTCAGGTGTGACAGGGGCACTTCCAGTGAACATTGATATTGCCTCATTACCAAATAAACGTCGAACTTTACGAAATATCAATTTGGTAAATAATGATGGTTGTTCATTTTGTAATGCTTGTTTAATTAAAAAGTGTTTGATTTTACTTTTACCCGCTTCGTTCATGATTGTATCATACACTTTGTTTAAAAGTCTTGGTACCATTACAAGACGAGATGGTTTAACAACCGTATAATATTCCAATAATTTTTCAGGTTGTGGACAATAGACAACTTTTGATCCATTTATAAATGTAACTAATAATACCATTCTTTCATATAAATGAGGCATTGGAAGAAAAGATAAATGGCGGTCAGAAGGAGTACCAGAAATACGAGCACGTTGCTTTCTCTCATAATCACTTTTTATAGTCGATAATATATTTTCATGACTTAACATTGCTATTTTTGGTTCACCTAAATGAAAAGAAAATTTTCAAAAAAAAGACAATAACTTATCAACATACGTTAATTAAAGACAGTTTACCAGTTGTTCCACTCGTAAAAATAAATGTAGCTATATTGTTCGACTCAAAATATGGTCGAGGACATAAATTTTCTTTACCAGATTCTAAAACATGCTGAAATGTTTTAATATCACTATTATTATTATCAGTTATGGGTAAATCATCCATTGAAATTATATGTTTTATTCCAATATCAAATAGATTCGATTTTATTTTTTCAATACGTTGAACATTATCAACAAATAAAATATCAGTAGATGTTTTTTGTAATAAATTTAATACGGTCTGTGAATCATATGTTGTATAGAGTGATACAACAATAAATCCATACATATAACAAGCATGTTCAACATATGTCCATTCTTGTCGATTTAAAGACATAATTCCAACTTTAGATTTATTTGGTACTAAATTTAAACAACTTATCATATAGGAGCCAATATATCGAACTTGTTCAAGTACATGGGAATAGGACAACCAATTGAAATTAATATTTTCATTTGTTGATGTTGAATCATTAAACGAAAGTCCAATACATGGTCCATTATTTGAAACTTTATAACCATGATAGAGAATATCTCCGAGCATTTTTACATCTGGAAAAAATTGTTTATAATATGTATAAATGTCCACATTTTTATAAAATGTACAACGTCGAATTTTTTCCACGGGATCAACTTCAATTGTTTGATTGTTTAAATCGATACCATCATCATATAATTTTTGTAATCTCGATTTATATGCATGACTGCCATAGTAGGCAAGTGTACATGCTCCGACTCCTGCTCCGACTCCGGCAATCGTATAAGGAACATTAAATTTTGGATACGATGACATATCTAAAATACACATATTTTTCTTATCTCGTCCGATATAGAACAACTGGGATAAAACGATTTTTAAAAGAAGTCAGATATGAAAAAGAAAAACTACGAGAAAATATTTAATGGAGAACGCAATTAGATTGAAAAGAGAACGTTGTGAATTGTTTAGAGAAACGCAAATTAATTGAAATAAAAAGGAGAATACATTTTGAATGAAAAATATTTAATTTTTGATATTTTTTCAATTACTAAACATATCACTATAACAACTGTTTCCTCAAAAAACAAATGTTTATTCATTATTTTATGATTATTTATTTGGTTATCAGTGCGTCATAGTACAAAATGGCCGTAAGTACAATACATCAATTTTTCAAAAAATTTCGCGTTCCAAGAATGTATTCAAATTGCATAGATAAAGCAATGAGTCCATAAAAGCGACAAAAAAAATAAGTGGCCTCTGACTACAATCGAACCAGCACTATATGCATATCATGCGACATACGGTGTACCACTATACCACAGAAACCGTATAGTGATATGTTCAGTAATTGAGAAAATAGTAAAAACTAAATATTCTTAATTCAATCCCATATCGACGTTTTTGTCGAGAAACCGCCAATTAACCGCGGTTCGTGAAAAAACCGCTAATTGATCGCGGTTAGCTGTAAAACCGTCAATTAACCGCAGTTTTGGAAAGCTAGGTGCAACATTGAAAAAGCTTAGATGGTGTAAAATGTGAAACAACGGCTTAGTTTCAAAAGAATTCAGATGTTCGTCATTCCTGTTTCCCTAACTTTTTGAAACTATTCTAATTACTAATTCAGCATTAAAAACTGACTATGAGAATGATGCTTGATTGAGGTTGAAGTCATGTGAAGCATCATTCTCATACTCAGTCAGTAAGGGGACACCTCCTATATCCTGATCGGGATATGTCTCCACATTGTCAGTTTTTAATGCTGAATCAGTAAAAAAAATACTTTCAAAAAGTTCGAGGAACACAAATGACGAAAATCTGAAAGTTTTTGAAACTAAGGCGTTGTTTCGAGTTTTACACCCTCCCAGTTTTTTCAATTTTTCCCACTTAAAGGTTGTCCAAAAACGTTGAAAGCTACGAATTCGTGATCAGCTTATCAAGCTCTATCCAACCATATATAAATAAGCGAAAAATAAAATCCACTCGAATTTTGCATTTCCGGCACCTTATATCTTTGTATATTGTATAAATCAAATTAAAAAAATATAGGTTTTGTTTTTCAAAAATAGAAAATCTCAGTTCAATAATAATCATATAATAATAAACGATCAATAATCAAGTCAAAAGAAGATTTCTGACCAACAGAATGCGTCCTAGAGGTCCCTCATACTCATTTT